CACCGTGTGGAATGACTGCACAAGCAAAAATACTGTATATCAAAAGCTGGAAATTACATTGGTACAAAATTGCATTATAACTCTTGCTGATTGTTTTTTCTTAGTGATTTTTAAACTGCAAACTTGCATTGCATTGGTAAAGATAAAATAACCATTGTAGTTAATGTCATTTTTAAATGCTCACATAGTAGCTATTGCAAATTGTCATATTATATAAAAGTTGTTTGATGTGAGATGAACTTCACTGGTTTGACTGTTGAAATAAAGAAAAAACTGCATTATTTTGTGCATCTTCTGTTATTCAATCCATCATGTGTTTCTTTGTCTGCTCATGCAAATCACAACCTTCAATAACTTATGACTACTAATATGATAATGAAGCATATTCAGTGTTACAGCCATGACATGTATCAGTGTGAGAATATAGCTGATTGACTTTAAGTGACGTAAACAAGAGCAATACAAGCCGATAATAACAATTTCTAATTAATTTGTTCATGAAGACAACAGCAGCTGGTGTGACAGAATTCAGATCCTCATTTGTCCCACACCTTCACACTGCACACTGGGATCTGTGGGCAAACGGGGGACGCTGAAACTCACAATGAAGCTTTGCAAAAGTTCAATCAGAAAATCTATATTCATGCTTATACTATCGATTTACATTTTGCCTCTCTATGTCTGTTTATCTCTTTCTGCTCCCAACTCATCTCGGCTGACTAAGAGCTGTTTTTTTTTTTTTTTTTGGTTAAGCAGATTTTGCCACAACCTCAGAGTCTGAGCCAATCATTAGGCTGTGTTCAAAATTAAAACTGTTTCTTTGCTGCTGTCAAATCAGTGCGACCCTCCTCCTCCGCAATATTCACCTCCATTTTTTTAACAGAACTGCAGCATCCTTCCACCGATCTACTCTGTCCTGCTCCATGTTACATCCATCCAGATTTTCAGCATTGCTCTTTATTCCTTTTCCACCAGCAAAAGAATCTAGACTCCATCAGAGGATTATTCCTGCACAGCTTATGGCAAAAATCCTACCTTAACATTACGATGCCAAAATAGTCAATGACTTCTTAGCTTTTCCTTATTGTGCACACCAGGTCAAATATATACATTTAATTCTTCTTTAAGGCTTTCTCTCCAGTCTCTTAGTTTAATGCACTGGACTGAATTCTCCTCAAACATACAGTAGGTTTGAACAAGTCTAAAAGTTCGATTCAGCAATTTATCTCCTATTCTACATTGGCAGTTGAGGCTCCCTAACCAAGCCTCTGATGGCATTACAAATCTTGCAAACTCATCATTTCCTGCAAGATGCAAGTCTTCAAATGACCTTGAAGAATCAGTTAAATCTGCTCACATAACATAGTGCACCAATCGGTAAACTTTTGAATGGCAGTGGGACTCCTGAACTTCATTAACTACTTGTGTAACTAAACATACATGCAAAATAAAGGCACTTACATTTGAAACTTCTTCCCCAATATTTACACAAAGCTGGTTTTGTTCAGATAGTTCTTTTTTTTCTTCCTCTAGGTTAATAGGTAGAAAATAAAAGTCCACTAACAGTCCACTGTGAAGTACATGTTCGTTCAGGTGCATGACAGATTTATACTGACGTCGAACTGAAACAATATATTCTCGATCATTTACTCCAATATTACATCTGTGTTTCATCCGCTGCCGTTTTAAATCAAAGTGAAAGTTGTGAAGGAGTTTTGACAGACAATACCAAACCATCAGATCATTAGAAACTGGTTCAATAAAAGGTTTTTCAAGCGAGACATGTTCCTATTAGTGTAAAGTGGGTTGGAAAGCATATGTAGGTTTGAAGTTTCTCGTGTTTTCTTTCCAAAGTCAGAACAGATGAAACCTCTGGCACGAATAAAGATATTAGGAATTCTGCTACTATACTGTGCGTGCTTGTGTATTAGTGTGTGATCCATATTTCCAGTTAAGGCTCCGGGCAGCACAGTGTGCACGAATTTGATTCACCATGCAGCCCTCCGCCCTGTCACTTCCCCTAAACCTGAGAGATACGCACACACGTGTGCACAAATGAAAAACAATGGACACTTAGTGACACAGTGCTGTGGCCTTGATCTGAGTTGTGATTGCTGGTGGTGGAACTTAAAAAATATAATTCTGACAAATATGAGCATTGCTTTTGCTGTGTGTTGGAGACCATATTGGAACATTTAACAGATTAAAAGCTAGATATTTTCAGGAGCTGGTGGAGACCAAAATCAGAGCCAAAATGACTGAATACAATGACTTATATTTGTCACAAACTTGGCTCCAAATTAGTACTTTATGTTTTTCTACATTGTTAAGCAACTGTTGCCATAAAACTTTAAAAAGTGATATTATGCGAGCATAAGTTGTGTTTACAGCCTGTCAGACGTTGCAATAATGCAGGTTTAATTGAAAGGAGAATTATATTCATAGTGAAACATACCTACATTTTCAAAAGTAGAAGCTCTAATTAGAATACCTTTCTGAAGTGTGTACGGCATCCTCCTAATAAAAGTACATGTGAGGGGAATTTCTATATATATATATATGTGTGTGTGTGTGTGTGTGTTGTCTCCTAACTTCACTCCAAAAATGCTCTTTCTGTCTGTTCCTCTTCTATTTGCATCTGCTTGGTCAGCTCTACATGTCAATCTGAGACGGGGAGAAAGAAGGATTCTGTGCATGTGTGTGTGTGCGTGTGTGTGTGTGTGTGTGTGTGTGTGTGTGTGTGTTATTCCCACAGCAGAAGCACAAAAGGTTTACACATCCATAAACATTATGCTATGTGCGTATATGCTGTGCGTCATGGAAGCAGCCCTCCCCTGTGTGTTATGTATATGAATGAATGGCTTTTACACAGGGAATGGCTCCTCCCCAGGAAATCCATGACTGTACTTTCCAGAAATAGAGTATTACTTGCTTAAGGTGGAACTACTGCATCATCAATGTGTTTCCAGAAGGACTAAAGAACGATGGAGACCGTGTTGTATAGCTACCTCCTGTTGGCAGGACTGCTGGTAGCCGAACCTGTTCTCAAAGATGCGTGCGGTTGAGCGAACTGGCACATTGGATTTCCCACGCTACAATGTACATGCAGAAAATTCATATGCTGGCACATATAACACACACGAATGCACATAGACACGCTTTGGCACAGCGATAGAGGAAGGTGTAGGCGGTGTGACGCAAGAAATATGAGTCACTCTGACACAAAGCCTTTACAACAAACACCATAGTCATAATGTTACCTCTCCAGCAGGTCAGATGGATTGCTGCTGGTCCCAATACTCTCACTGAAAAAAAATGACCAGAAGAGAGAACAGAGGTAACTTTAAATCACCAATCTGCTGCACAAACCTGTTCTGCAATTTTCTTTCAGGTTTATAATTAAAGATAGGGGCCCAGCAATAAAGATTAATAACCCATTTCTTATTGTTCTTTTAAATTCAGAGATATGATGATGTAAAAGGCTGTAGCTATGGCAACACAAACCTGTCATCCAAGAGAAGCACCCCACCATATGCCCATGTTACATTTTCAGAGTTTCCAGAACCACAGAGAAGGATGAAGCAGCAAAACCAAGACAAAAGACGAACAGTTTCTCAATGATTTAAGTGAACGGAAATGAATGTAATGAAACCGCTCTTGCGTACGTGTGTGAAGGTCGCAGACAAGCGATGCAGCTCTGTGTCATGAGTCTTTTTTTGAACAGCATATCACACATACAAATGTCTCAAAGGCCTTCACGTATCAGCGACACTTTCAAATATCAGGCTCACCCTGATTTAAGTGGAGAACCAACTCCTGCTGCACTGCCGACCTTTTCCACAAGAGGGTGTAGAGTCTGGCTTTGCCTTGGAGAGCTGCCAAGTACATACCGAACTGTTGCCCAATCCTGTTTGTCACATCAGTGGAAAAAAAAAAAAAAGGCAAACCAGACAGTACGTTGCAGCACTTTCCAGGTATATAGAGATCCTATTTGAATAGAGATAAGAGAGCAGACCTGCCTGATAATTCATGATGAAATACTAATTCTTCCATGCTGCTCCGCAGAGGAAACACAAAGCTGTAAAGTTATACAATTCCGAGCGCTGCCAAGGTGCAGTTATGGGCTTTTTCTATTTGTGCAATTAGTATGGAATAAGGCGTTAACACTGGATAATGTTTGAGAATAATTGCCCCCTCAAACTGCTTGCAGACTTTGTTAGCAAACACTACAGGAGCTTTGGATTACACACACATGCACACACACATGCACACACACGGCCCAGATGGGAGACAGATGTTTAATAGACAAGGTCAAGGAGTCCATACTGTAATTGTCTGCTCCACCATTTCTCAGTATTCTCTGCATTGTTCAGATCACCACATCCACATAAATCCTGGAAATTTCCTCTGGAATGGAAACCACGTCCTACTCTCACAGACCTATTTGTGTTTCTGTTCTTGTTTTCTCTCTAACACACACACACACACACACACACACACACACACACACACACACACACACACACACACACACACACACACTGCAGTTCTGTTCTCGTGGTACACTCAACAGATTTTTACTCTTCACCCACACAGACACTGACATGTACACCTAAGCAAATAAAAGCCCCCTCATATTAGACTGATGATATCATGCGTTGCTCTGATAGTAGCTTTCCAAAAATCTTGTTCCAGTTTGTTTTTCTTTTCATTCTGAATCTCTGCTTCTCCCCGCTTTTTCTGGATGTTTCCTGGGAGAAAGTGCTGATGATGGGCCCTGAGCCAGGGATATAACACAGAGAGATGATGAAACATAAGGAGAGGAGGAGAAGTTTCTAATCTCATTATCGCTACCTAAACTAATCCACTAGAATCAACACCTCCGAGTCGTCCACACACTTTTACACGTGTTATACTCCGTGTATCACACACACAGACATATATTGATAAGATATATGCTCAGTTATATAGGGTGATTAAGTCAGAGAGAAAAAAAAAAGATGTCAGATATGCAAGATACGATGCTGCTGGGAGTAGAGGGGATCAAGAAAACCATCCTGCATGGAGGGACCGGAGACATCCCGAAATTCATCACTGGGGCGAAGGTACTGTAGGCCTTCAGTACTTTATTGCTGATCAATCTAAAACAACACTGACAGGCATACAGCAGATATCTCTTTCAGGCTTTCAAGAAACGTATTCGTCATGCTGTACAACCTGCTCTGCGTGGGCCCATAGATATTTCATTACACTCTAAATAAGCCTTTCAGATAGCTGATCTGAATAAATGAAATATGGGTAATTAAAACACAACTCACAAAGCTAGTTTCAGTCTCTTAAATCTAATATTGGGCGCAAATGTAATTTTAACAGATGCGCCTAATTATCATACTGTGAACAGCATCATAGGCAGAGAAAAACCGACACAGACTCAGTTTTACAAACCTCCCCATGTACGATCGTTATGAGAAATATCAAACAAGGCCGATGGGCCATTTTGTTCTTTGATCAGCGGTTTACACATTAAGGTTGAGATGTAGGAGGCATCTCTTAATATGCATGAGATTAGCAATAAAACAAGCAGAGCTGTTCTGCAAGTCAAACAACATGCTGTGTATTTGAGCTGCGGAAAAGTACTGTTTCAAAGAAAGCTCGCTTATCTTTCTGCTTTGGTGAATTCAGTTTCTTTTGTGGATTCTATCAACTCATTATATTTTTTCCCTTTAAACTGGTAAAGAAATGTCAGCGAAATTGCGAGAGAAAAAAATTTAAAAAAAGAAGAAGAAGAAGAAAAAATTAGCTTGACAACTCGGATAATTTATGTACTAATTATCTGACTTAAACATGTAGCATTAATATTATTTGTTAATTTAATTTGGAAAAACTTAATTCAATTGTGTTTTACCATTTGAAGCAATTCATTTTGAGTACATCACAAGGTATGATGAAGATGCGTTTGTAATGAATTACGTTGTTAGTTGCACGTTATGGATTTTCAATTATTTTTATTTTTTTTTAACTGCTTAATTATTTAACATCATCCTTTTATTTTTTGAAAACCTCACAGGATACACTGAAGGAGAGTCCTCAATTATTTTGAACAGTGCCTGGGTACATACAATAAATGCAGATGCAACTGGAACTGAATAGCAGTAAAAGAATAAGAATACATAGATATAATTTCTACATTTTCAGATCTGGGCTACTGATCAGAAGATCAGGATTCAAGCTGAAGCACTATGATGCTCCAAGGCCCTGAACTGTATCTGCTGCATAGTGCTGGAGACTTGAAATAACAATGTCCCCGGTGAGATGAATAAACTATATAGAAAAAAAAGAAGATGCACAAAGACAGGAACATTCAAGTTCGTGCAATTCCCACTGGCAGCCAGTAGAGGTTGATAGAAAACATATAGAACTCAATGCCTCATTAATGAAAGCATCGTTTCCAGAGCTTCACCAACACAGTTCGAACTGGATCTTTTTCTTTCTTTCTTTTTTTTTTTTACAAAAAAAATTACAAGTCTAGTCGAATACAATCTTATCTTTTAAGCAAGAAAAATAAACATTTTCCACATATGAACTCATTCTTAAATATTTCATGGATGTTATATGTAGTTTTGCAGTTTTCCTGTTCATGCCAACAGCAGACACTCTTGATGATGGCTGACTGACTATATTATCATTCTTCTGTATCTTTTTTTACTGTTTGCCTAATAGTGTTTACTTTTGATTTGTGATGATACGCATTTCACATGAGGTTCATGCATTCATTCATGACTTGTACTGGTGCTCCTCATAAAGGAGCAGTTTCTGCACATGGTTTCCCCTTTCCATGGACATTACACAACCAAGCAACCTTGGCATGTCTGTCTGTCCTTCCTCCTGTCTGCCTGCCCTGTTGAATAACTGAGCTGTGTGAAGCTCGTGACATAACATTTTTGTTTGGACTGATGTGTATTTGCATTTAGAAGGCCCATATTTCAACAAAGCATGTTGTTTTTGCCTTTTACTGAGTCCTGACATGTGTCTGCACTTCATCCTTCAGTTTAAATGTACACATCTTTGCAATTCGAAGTACTTTTCCTCACATTGTCCAGACTGTATAGTTTACATGGTTCTTCTCCCAACATGCTTGGTTCTAGGTGACGTTCCACTTCCGCACCCAGCTATGTGACGACGAACGTACAGTGATCGATGACAGCAAAGTGGTGGGGACACCCATGGAGATAGTGATTGGAAACATGTTTAAACTGGACATCTGGGAGACTCTGTTGTCCTCCATGAGGATCGGTGAGGTGGCCGAGTTCTGGTGCGACATCATTGTGAGTGACAAGAAAGCTGCAGTTTGGCTTTTATCTGTAACTTGTTTTTAATGCAAAGTGGATCCTAGTCCAAGAGTATTCTGAAAGGTGCGACTGAGACAGAATGACTTCACACTGCAGATGTGGAAGTTATGGAAGCTGCTTTCAATAACGAGGAAAACAAAACAACACAATAAGACAAGTTTTATGTGCTCCACTTACACATTTAAAGCCTAAACCTGAAGCACAGACATGACGCACCCACCTTGAATACTTGTGAACTTCTTTAAAACTGACTCAACAGGTTGCCATGAGAACAAAAACTTTACATTATGCGGTTTATGAGAAACAATCATGTGGTGAGTCAGACACATGTGATTCACTTTCAGTTCGGTTTCACTTTTAATTCCGTGCATATTTTATTTTACGGATGAGGTTTTTGTGTTACCTTTTCCTAGTACGACATCTGTTGTCTCATACACTATACATTTATATATCTGGTATCTGTATGCACCTATAGCAGACACAGGTGTAACAAAGAAAGCCTTCTACCTCCGAATTCACACATGTAACTTATGTAATCTATAATTTGTTGTGTCTGCTGTGTGTGTGTGTGTGTTGCACACTGTCAGAGACAGATGGGTTGAGGCATACTGTCATTAATCCACAGCAGCCTCACTTTTCCCTAATCGGCTCTGACTACTGCTGAATCAGCACTACTGACTCCCCTCCACTCTGATTAGATTTGATGGGGCTTAGAGCATTTATTCACTCTGAACAACATGGCTGCAGCACACACTCTACTGGATATGCGGTGCACTATCACTCCCATCCAACGGAGGGAAGCCTTCACTTGTTGAACTGAGAGGAAACAGATTGGAGGGAATGTTAAAGAACTTGCAAATATATTTAGATGAATTTTTAATCAGCTTTTTGATCAAATAAGTAGAAGATTGTGGTCATCATGTTGATTTTGATCTGTTTGAAAGCAACAAAATGACATCTGTGAAGAGGAATAAACAGCACGACACTAAATATACACAAAACCCACAAAATGGTTATACGTTTAGTGTCTTGCCTATCCCAGACGTGCGTTCCACAAAACGTACTAATTAAATGACCCTGAAGAAACTCTCTCTCATCTTGCCTGTACTACTGTGTATGTACAGCAAAATGACAATAAGCTTGATCTGATTTGACATTTTCTGTGTGTTTCAAATTGTGATCCTGCAACAACTTTTTTTTTAAAAAAAGTTGCTTTCTAAATGCTAAAATATAATGTGTAACTGAAATAAAAGGATTAGGTTAAAAGTAAAATTCAATTACAGCAAAACATCCAGATGTTAGAGCAGTGTTCTGTCTGTTGGATTTTTACATTTTAAAGTAATAAATTGCATGTGAAGAGTGAGAAACATTCAAAATGATAGAAGGGTTCATCTTTAAAGGATACAGTGACACCTTCACATACTGCAAAGTCTGCATTTAAGGGGAAAATACCATAACACAGAATTCCCTTGTATTTTTTTTCTCTATTTGGATGACTATAATGCTTAACGCAAAGCTGCTCCACAGATACAGAATGATGCAAAACTTCATGGGTTGAGCACATTTGTAAGCCACAGGTATTAGAGGCAGTTTGTCATCCACTGTTAGAATCTCTGACCTCCAACCTCTGTGGTTTAAAGTTTTGAGCATCGCCTTGTGATCCTCTCTCCCCTCCAGCACACTGGCATTTACCCAATTGTGTCCAAGAGTATGCGTCGCATCTCTGAGGGCAAAGACCCGGTGGACTGGCACATCCATACGTGTGGCATGGCTAACATGTTTGCCTACCACAGCCTGGGCTACGACGACCTGGACGAGCTGATGAAGGAACCGAAGCCGCTCTACTTTGTCCTGGAGCTAGTCAGGGTGAGAAAAACACTCATCTGTGTGGATCTGTGTCAATAGAGATCTTCCCAGGCATGTAAATTCCAAAAATGATCCTAAATTGAGGAACAGACCTGCTTTTAGATGTGCTTTACATATCAATGCCAACAACTGCATTGTTTTAAAGTTCTATAATTGATTGAAAACTCACTCCAGTGTGTCTATGATTGACAGGTGCAGCAGCCCAGCGAGTACAACCGAGAGTCGTGGGCTCTGAGTGATGAGGAGAGGCTGAAGATAGTTCCAGTGCTGCACGGCCAAGCAAACAAACTGTACAAACAGGGACGCTTTCAGGACGCCACGCAGAAATACAAGGAGGCTATCATCTGCATCAAGAATGTGCAGACGAAGGTGATTGCATCCAACAAGTGGTTCAAGACAGAATCCCAAAACACCCGCATCAAACACAGATTTGTGAGAGTGCACTGAATCTGAACTACTTCCCTGTTCAGGAGAAGTCATGGGAGGCCCCCTGGTTGAGGCTGGAGAAGATGGCCAACACCTTAACGCTGAACTACTGCCAGTGTCTGCTCCGCATGGAAGAGTACTACGAAGTCCTCGAACACACCAGCGACATTATCAATCAGCACCCAGGTTTGTCTCATGACTCTGTTTTCATGGATTGAGGGGTTTCGATTTTTTACTCTTTTTTTTTTTATTAAAGCAGAAAGAGTTTTCTTTGCCCAGCAGCTTATCACATTCCAGCTAGTAGATTTATGAGTGCGAAAGACTGTCATGCTGTGTAAGCATTATAGTTTATTCAGCCTTTTATGCGTTGGCCATGTTTTCATAGTGTGAGTGTGTGAGTGTGCAATTTTTTACGGTCGCTGTAAATGTAACGTTTCATGTGCCTATTAAAGTCTGATCTTATTAAAGATCTGGTGCCTAGTCTCAGTTCATAGATGAAAATGTGCACCTAAGATGCAAAAAAAAAAGAAATAGTTAAAAGAATTCTTTGTTGCAAATACTTTGCTCACTACAGCACCAGCAGGGGTCACATGCATGCCTGTGTTTGTTGCTCCAGGTGTAGTTAAAGCCTTCTACCTGCGAGGAAAGGCCCACATGGAGGTGTGGAACGAGGCGGAGGCTCGGCAGGACTTCAGCAGGGTTCTGGACCTGGACCCTGGCATGAAGAAGGCTGTTAAGAAGGAGCTGGCCAAGCTTGCTGTGCGCATGGAGGAGAAGAACCAGGAAGACAAGAACAAGTATAAAGGCATGTTTTGAGCCGGCAACACTGAGAAGGGATCGACTAAAGAAGAGCAAAGGTGTTACATCACAAATCTCTAAGCTTTATTTTACCTTTAATTAGCACAAGCAGCTCTCTGCACAGAATGTGAAAAACTCAATAAAATGATCCAGCTTATTACATCAGCAACTTAAAATCAGCTCCCCTATTTCTGGCTGTCTTTCTTTTCATCCAAACTGTGACCAAGACAACTCTCAAACCTCTATTTTGGTTCATACTTTTAGCCGTTTTACAGGTGTGTGTATGTGTGCATTTTCATCTTAATGCATAGCGAGGCCTAAACATGTACCTAAATGCTAAGATTATGAATGCATTAACGAATTTAAGTCAGGTTAATTATTGACAAAGTTTGTTTAAAAGAAGTATTTAGAAGTAGAATTAGAAGAAAACTTTATTAATCCCTTCGGTACAAGACCTCAGGGAAATTGCAACAATTTCCATTTGCTTTCACACCAAGTGCTAGATGAGAAGATTGAAACCATCCTGATCTGTTATTGACATATAGCAATTGTAGCCAGGGGCAAGTTAGCTTAGCATAAAGACTGGAAAGAGGGGTAAAAGGCTAGCTGAGCTCTGTCTGAAAATAACTTAATCTGTTAATTTTACTTGTATATCAAGTGAGCTTTAGCATGCTTAGAAGTGTATTTTGTTATTTTTTGTCAGCTAAGCTAACTGGTTGTAATTGTGCATTTACTCCACTGTACAGATGTGATATCTTCTCATCTAACACTCAAAAAGAAAGCAAATAAGTGCATGCCACGAAATGTCAAACCATTTCTTTAAGGCCACTGCTCAGATTTGTTTTGTCCTTTGTCGTGTATTAGAAGACTCATCTATCATCATCTATTTACTTCTGATTGATAAAGCCAATAAAATGTTGAAATAACTTTGTTGAACTTCTGTTTAAATGTGCACTCTGATCCCAGATGTTCTATGAGCCAATGCAGTCGTCATCAATGTATGTCTTTATTTTTTACTTTCCCGGTACATTCCCTACATGATGTTGACTTAAGTAGTGGCTGCATTGGTTCAGATGTGTTATTACAAGTTGCAAAAAAATTAGTTCATCCTCGAAGTCATGCAAGCACGTTGCCCTTCCACAAGGTGGAGCTCTGACCACAATTATATGTCTATCAGCATGAACCCTGCTGGAGAAATTATCCTGCATCAGCAGCATTCACATCACAAGAGTCTTGGGGCTTGTAAAAATAACAAGTTACTACTGCCTGCCTCCCTTCCTTGCGAGCATCTGTACACATCCAGAGCTTCCTGTGGAGTGTTCAGTGACGAAGCCTTAAAGTCAGAAAAAAGACTTAAGATATCTTTGTTTACAGTAAATGCCTGAAGATAAAGAAAAGGCAGTGAAAGAGTGCATCTGAAATCAGTTGTAATCGTACACTGGGATGAAATTCTAGACAAACAGCATGACATCTGCAAGAAAATCTCTTCCTATTATAGCAACAGAAAGAAGATAAGTTCAGATCAAGTGAAAAGCTTTCAGCATGAGTGTAAGTGTCCTCTAAAATCCTATCACAGAATTCTCTTTCTGCTACACACCAGACTCCACCCTTTGGCAAAGGCAGAGCATGAAAACAAGCTTCACATTACACTGAATGGGGCCATCAGGGCCTTTTTTTCAGTTAATAGAAACACTCTCATCTCAACAGCTTCCCAGAGATAAATGATCATTAACACAAACATATCACATGTCCTCTTGATGCAACTAATGCAGTGCCTCAGCCCCAACCTGCTGCCTCTAATGCATCAATGCAAACATTCCCCTCCAGATGTCTCCCACCAAAATCTATTTCCAAAGTCGAGGAAAACGCATCATAATTATAATTTTGCTCACACATCACACTGAGAGCTCGGTTTCATTCAGGGAATCCCCATTCATCACGATCTGCACTGCGCCCCCACCATCAGGTCACAGTGGAGAGCAGCAGCCACCCTGGGAAATAAGGCTGACGCTAATGCACCATCTAATGATGAGGGAAATCAATAGGAGAAGATCAGAGAGAAAGAAAAAAAAGATACTGAGATACTTTACATTCCAGCCCAGCCCATCACAACCATCTTTACGCAGTTCTTAGCGCCGAGTCTCGTCCTGTCTGAGTTAACAGACAGACGGTGGTGGAACACAGCGCTCACTAGACACCAGATGCAGCTGATCTCCAGGGAATCCTCATTCTCACATCGAAAAAAAACATGTTTCTTTGCAAAATTACACACCTCAATTCTTAGTGCTACTCAGAAAATAGATGGGAGTTTATTTTTGGTGCGGGACTGTGCCATTTGGAAACCTTGCAAAAACACGGGACTCCAGTAAATTCTGCATAGCAGCACAATCCGCCGCTGGCTTTTCTCCATAAACCTCTGGTGCTGGTGTTGAGAAGAGGGAAAGAAAAAAAGGGGGGAGGAAGAGAGGAGAGGAGGAGAGAGGAGGATAAGGAGGGGGATACACAGCGCTGCTTCGCCCTGCTCCAACACGACACGCGTCAAGTTAGCTAGAAGAATCCATGTTTATACTGGAAGTAGGATGATCGTGATTTCAACAATAAAAGCATATACGGGCACGGTTTAGGAGGACAAAAAATAACCGAATTAATATGATTTTGGGGTCTGCCTGTTTTGCTCTGGACTGTACGTTTTATTTGGAATATATTTTGTTGTTGTTTTATTTTCTATTTTATGTACAAGGACCTGCAAAACTTTTTTTTTTTTTTTTTTTTTTTAAACGGTGCTTTTTTCATTTTTACATCATGTTCTCTGAGAAAATGCTTTTCTTTCTAGGAACTTTTTTTAACCATTCACATAGCATTTTTTGGAAGCTATTTGGGGCTCATTGTCTTTCTTAAGGACACTGAAACAAGGACACACCGGGTCCCTAATAATCAGTCAGCTTTCTTTGTCATTTGAGCTATTCAGTATGTACAACTGGAGCATTTATTCCTTCCTAACATACACTGGCTTACAATTGAGCGTTATAGAAAATATAATAAATACACAAAAATTATTATTATTATTATTTTTAATGAACAAAAACCTATAAGGCTGCTACCTGGATATGTTTTAGATCTTACCTGACACTGAGGTAGTTCACCTGATTGCCTAAAAATAGAACTAAATAACAACGTTTTAATTCAGTACAGGTTAAATATGTTCAACTGATTATCTGGTGCACTGATATTCATTTACTTCGATGTAAAATGGCCCTCGTGTTTAAAAGGAGAAGCTTTTATTTTGTTATCATTTACCGGATGTGCTCAGATTAAATACGGTAACTTAACAGTGGTCCCAAGTTGAGTTGAGTGTCTGCGCTGCTGCGGTGAGGAGACAGAGGAGGAGAGGAGGAGAAAGTGGCTCATCTGATGTCTGCTGTGAGAGAGACGCCTCACCTTCATCCTTCTCTCCTTTGACAAGAAAAGAAAAGATCTTTAATCTACTTTTACACTGAGAGGAAAGTGGTGGGACTTGGATCAGGACGGGCGACAGGAGATCTGGATGTATGACAGAGGAGGGGAGGTTTTCTGATCTGAGCCCCTTTGGACATGACTGAAGCGGCGGACGTGAGGGAAGGAGAAGGAAAGTGATTCAAGAGCAGGGAGGATGTCTGCAGGGATGATTCCTTCTGATTTTGTTCATTTGTTTTAGGGAGTTGATCCATCACATCCGAGCTCACAGAGCGCAGCACCTTTTCAGATCATCTCATTTGCAGCATCCACCACGCCTCTGCTGGAGACCTGCCTCCTAAAACAAGCCCCAGCTTGATTATTATTAGCTTGTAAAACAAAAAACAACAACTTGCAATCAGGCGTATTATGGAATGTCACCTTTCTTGTGATCAAATTTAAAATCAGCTTTGCAAGTTTTGATATCCTGATATTCCTGTAAGTGAGAGCTGAACATGGCCATCAACACGGACACCGACTTCCTCAAGTCCAACTTGGGTGAGGGCGGCGGAGGAGGAGGCGTCCAGCCGGACTTCCACGAGACGGAGAAACTCCTGGCGGTGACCACCGAGCCCGGAGGCAACGGGATGAAGATGTCCACCTCCTTCACGGTCAACATGGGCGGAGACAAGGGCCTGGAGGCCGATCAGAACGGCCACAGCGTGGCGGTGAGGTCGGGCTCCGCCGGGCAGCTGGCCGCCGCCGCCCCCCTCTCCCCCTCCAAGGCCAGCCTGAGCCGCTCCTCCACCGGGAACGCCACCGTGCAGGAGACCCCGAAGCCCAAGGATTACCTCATCCTGGTCATCCTGTCCTGCTTCTGCCCAATCTGGCCCGTCAGCATCGTGGCACTGGTGTACTCCATCATGGTGAGTATGAAAAACTGACAGAAAATCAGACTTGTGGAGCTCAGAATGTGGCAGCAGTTATGGATAACAGTCACGAAATAAAGATGCTGATGCTGGAGAAACAACATCTCAGTACTGGATGATGTGTTTAAATTAATCTAACATGTAGACCTGCTGAAAGGGCATTTGATGGAAAAACAAACAAAATAAATTTAAAAAAAATAAACAATTAGATGAAAATACCAATGTTTAATTGTCATGTACCTCAGAGACTTAGTAAAATTAGTTATTCCCTTTTAATGATTGCTAAATATGTGACAGAATTCTAAAATGTGACCGATTCACTGAAATTATTCAGTTTAATAGATGAAAAAGTGAAGGAAAATACACCCTGTTCTAGCAGAGGATGGTACATCTTGAATGCAGGAATGTTTTTTTGGTTTTTTTTAATCACATTTTTACATCAGATTGAAGCACTTGTCTGCATATTTTGATATCTGAAGGAAGTGAGAGCAACATTTTACAGAAAGTGAATCAATATATGTAGGAGGATGGTTGTCCAGCTGCTCGAGAGGGAAAATATCCACCGTGAAATATCAATATATCATTGAATACAGTTTATACTGTACTGTTTTAGATTGATTAGTTCAAAAATGTAGTGATGAATGAATGAATGATCATGATAAGCCCAAGAGGACATGTTCAAATGACTGAATTTGTCTGGCCACCAGTCCAGAATTCAAGTATGTTAGATTTGCTGTATAAAATCCACACATTTAAGAATCTGACACACACACACACACATGCACACACCCACACACACACACACACACACACACATGCACACACCCACACACACACACAGTGGCTTCACTGCCTCGTCAGCTTTCCCTTCGCTGAGGCTTTAAATGATCTCAGGTCTGCTGCTGCCACTCAGGTTTGCTGCTGCTTGTTCTGCTTTAGAGACACTGACACTCGATTAATCCTCTCACACAAAGTTTCAGGACACTGGAAATGCTGATACAAGATTCAGCCAAGACGCCGCAGCCTGTCACATGATGCTTGATGTGCTGCTGCTGCTCGGTGCATCGCTATTCAGTAAAACTTGGTTATAGACAATAAGGACCCTGCACATGGTCCATATTCAAATTGCAGCACATTAGTCTATGACGCTGACGGTGCACTTTCCCGTCATCCGCCTCTGCAGTGGTGAGAGGTTTGGAGCAAAGATGGTGGACTTTGTTATTGATGGCTGTGAGAGCTTGTAGCTTAAAGTATTTCAATCAGGCAGTGCAGGAGCTGCTGGGTTTATGTCTGATTTTGACGTGCAACAAAAGCACAGACATGGTGTGAAGCGCATCGCTTTCAGTATAGATTCAATCACATTTTAGTTTTTACTGTTAACCAAACCACATGGGACCAGAAGGAGGCCTATCGATGGCGACCCTTCCTTCACTTTGAGGAATAAAGTGATTAAAAAAGCACATTCAGCATCCAAATACACGATAATAAAAGAATCTGGTCAACTTTTAGTTTCACATTTTGTCTTTAAACTACATTTGTGCAAGTTGATAGGATAAAACATCCTGATAGAAGAAGCTTTGACAAAAAAAAGTGCCATGATTTAACTGTCTGAGCCCAATAACAGTCTATCGTCAGTCTGTTCCTCTGAACTTGAAGCTCCATAATGGCAGCTTCAGATGTGGAAAACTGGAAATGCTGGATTAGAAAAAAAACCTGCAAATGCAAGTCGTTCGATATATATTTCAATTAGGTAATTAGAAAAGTAACCCTGGGTTCAGCAATCAATTATGGTAATCAATTAAGTTATTTATCGTTATGTAATATTCTTACTGTACTGTGTGTGTGTATGAGGCTGCTGAACACTTGTACACCTTCTGGGGGTGGGGGGAAATCCCACTTGTTGTCTCACACATTTTACTGTGTACGACATGACTCAGGAAAAAAATCTTTGGTATTCTGGTCTGCGAGGTCACTGAAACCAGCTATCTATGTCAAATCTGCTGCTCAACTGTACTGAAGTCTTTTGTTGCCCAGCAGTGATTCACCTGCGTACGAGGCCTACAGACTGCTTCAGAGGGATTTTATTTCATTACTGGTCAGAAGTGTCACGAACAGCAAGTGTGGAGGAATTTAGAAATTTATTTTACTTCCTTTAGTTAATTATTTACTTCTGCTGATCCAGAATCTTTCCAAATTCTTCCCCTATTGGCTCCAAAATCTTTATGAAGCTTCAAGTACGACATCACAAAATACAAGAAATACAACAAAATACATGCAAACTGTGCTGTTTTAGAAGATTTTCTTTTGACGCTCAATTGTTTAGTGCGTGTTCTGCGAAATCATAAAATATAATGGAATAGCAGTAGAGAATCCAAGTTAGTTGCTGTACTTTTTTTTTTTTTTTGCACTTTGCAATCAAAACATGTGGAATTTGAAATGAGCAAACTGAACCATTAGGGCCCGAAAGCAACAACAACACTGGATCTTCGAGATATGAAACAGCCAAAGTAAAGCTGAGCAAAGTGTGTTGTTCTGTGCCTCCACCGCTTCATGTAATGCGTGCACCGCTGAGTGTGTGTGCCTGAGCCAGGAAACAACAGCAGCGAACGCAACCCACTGTAACTGAGTCGCACAGATAAATACGGCTTTTGACAGGCTCCTGCAGTAAGTATCTGGAACGATTCTATCAGGAGTCTTTTAGTGCCATCAGTCGTAAAGTCTGTTGTGTCAGGGCTTTACCTCCCGTTGGCCGATGGTGGCTTCGTTTCTATTGGCACGGCCATTTGTGTTTTTCCAGCACACTTTACTTCTGACACTGTTACAGCAGCCAACTCTCACATCTACAGAAAAAACGAGGCAAAGGCAATGCAGTAAACCCATTAGTTCTGTAATATCACTCCTGCGGGCCCCACACACCAAAGGGAATATCAGGCAGTATCCACAAGACAGCCTGTACTTCCTCGAGCCATCATCATGAACCCACTGACATTCACAAGTCAGCTGCTTGCTAATGGCATTGAGAAAGAGGGAGAGGGAGAGGGGGAGGGGGGGTGAGGGAGGGAGAGGGTGAGGCTCCAACAGAGGGCAGAAGAAAGAAAAGTGAAGGAGGGAGAAACTGGAGCTGGCCACTAACTCAATAGAAGGCGAGAGAAGTCAATTTAGTTTCACTGCAGAGGGCAGATTGCAGCAGTTAGCCAGCTCTGTGGCAGCGATCAACATCATCTCTCTTTCCTGGGGGTAAGGAAAGGGGATACGGGCCTCCCGAAGAAGATCAAAACATCATTCGCTACAAGGGCAGATGGGCGTGAGGGAGACAGCAAATGGGCATAACGTAGTTCCTTCCACTTGATTAGAAAAGGAACCGAGTTTAGATACCACAGCGATGTCGGATGAGTGCGAGCAAGTCCGAACAGGAAAACAAGAGGGTTTTCGGTTTATTTTTGCTGAGAGCAAATGAGCCAGAAGTGATGTGGTTGATACCACATGATACAGCTGTGGAAGTGCACGATCACTACTGAGTGCTGATACCCTTATCGGCCACGTGAAACGGATACTTCTGGTAAATTGAAGAGAGAGAAGAAGAAAAAAAAGTGCTGTTAATGATTTTAATGAGGGGACGTGAAAGGAAAATGATGAAACTCTAGTTAATTATAAACAGGAAAAGAAAGTATCTTAAGTGGCAGCTTGATAAAAATAAAAATAATGATAAATAAATTAAAAAATGCCACAGCAGCATATTGAATTGTTGATGAGCACATATAGCTGCCTTCAACTTCACTGACCTCAATTCGTGCCAGAAGGTTTTCTGCTACTTTAATAGTCATGTACTTTCATGTAACATTTACTATGTTATGTACAAATTATTAATTTTAAAACCTGCTGCGAGCCATAATCAGGTAATTTAATTCTAACTTTAAACTGCACTAAAGACATTATTTTAGATTGAGTATCACTAACAAGTGACATGTGTACTGTGTGTATTGTGGCGTATGTGTTCGCAGGGACAAACCAATAGTAACTCTGCACTCCAAGAAGCATTTTAGATGATTGTTTTGGCTCTTTGGCGTGCAAGTCGTTGATCATTTCTCTTGTCAGCAGCAGTTGGCAGCTAAAAAGTTCTGATAAATCCACTCGGCTGCTCACCCAAAGTTTCGGACTAACTGGTGAACACAGTGGAGCATTTAGCTGCAACAGACCCAGAAATTTCCCTCAGGAGCTGAAAAAAAACCCCAAACAGAGCCTGTTCCTAACTGCAGACTTGAACAGCTTCTACCATTTTACTGTATTTTTACTGTGACTTTAAGTCATGAAATGTGGATGAACAGAACATAAAACACATTTCAGAAGTTCAACATCCACAGAAACAAAGAATATAACTATAAGAGTGAGGCGGCAAACACCAAACAACAAGGTAGGTTTTTGAGTTTTAGTTGTTTAAACAGCCAAAATGAATCATAATTAGGTGAAAATCAGTTGAGGCTTCACTGAACCTTGTAAAAGCGTCTCTCTGTAGTGGTCGAGAGTGCGTTGCTAACAACAGGAAAAACTTCCATCCATCTTCATCCACCACCACTTCCAGCAGCAGCCCGGCCTAAAAGCCAACTTCCAGCTGGCTGCCGCCACAGATCTCTGACAGATACTCTGGTGGGGAAGGCTTGCGGCTGGCAAACACAGGAGATGTGCAGTCAATTATGGGGATTGGAGAGGCTGGGGTAATAGGTTTTTACAGCCCAGTGTAGCCTATCCCAGTAATGGGAATGCCCAAACTGCAGGAGCATTATTGCACGCTCTGCAGATTTGCCTGTAAAATATGGACTCGCAATGCTGCACTGGAGGGATGACTGTGTGTGTGTGTGTGTGTGTGTGTGTGTGTGTGTGTAGGTAAATGACTTCTTATTAGCAGTCAAATACTGCAGAGACTGTGGGAGGCACTTTATACGGTTATGAAGCTCATCAGAGTCCCCACAGAGAGGACACTGGAACCTACTGATATTTTA